CGAGGATGATCTTGGACTTGAGCTCCTTCTCAAAGCCTCAAGTTCTCTCTTAAGCCTCCACCCCCTCATGTGAGGGGTGAGGCTCTATTTATAGTGTTTTGAGTGCAATTAATGCAGGAATATGAACCATTTTGATCGGACGGTCCGGAGAGCTCCCTTGATCATATGACGTTTGATGGACATTTGAGTGCCTTAACGATGTCTGAATTGAGCAATCTTGGGCTCGTTGGATTCGTCTTTTCGAGACGCTCGATTTGACTACAAATTCGCTAAATTTGACATCCGTTTGGCCTTTTAAAATGCCTCTGGAATACCTCCAATACTAGTTTAATGATTTGATCCGGGCTTGATTTGACTCGAATTGGACCGACTTTCATATCATTAGGACCGCCTCATCGAGCTGATCAGTTGACTATAAGTTTGCTGAAATCGGAGCTCCAGATGACTCTTAATCGAATATTGAATTTATCTTGTTCAAAAAATTGCACCGAGATTCGTGCCGGATGATGAAAATTTATTGTTGGCGTATCAAGACCTATTGGCTCACTTGCCGGATCGATTAACCCATCACTACTCTTTTTGATGCATTTTTTGGTAAGACATCTTTGGGTCCTCTAACTTGCTCGACCATCATTACGTTTTCCTTAAAAATTGAATTTTTAGCTCGGGCTTGGGCTTGGTACACGCCTAACTCTAATCTTGCAAGTAGTGTTGGGGTCTTTCTGCAATTGCAACGTCGGGGATATGTTTCGCTAAACTCACTGCAAATTACCGAGCTCGGAAATCTTTTTGAGCAGCCATGAATCCACCGGAGAAGATGGTCGGAGAAGACGCCACCGGTTGGGACGAGAAGGTCCGCCTGTTCTCCGCCGTGATCGTCTGCAACTGCGAGCGGCGTCAATCGAGAGCCATTTACGAGTTCGCTCGACTCTCCAAGCTCGCGCCTGATTCTGCCCTCATAGACATCGTTCCTATCCTCGTCAATCTCCTCAGCAGCTTCTATCCGTCAATTCAAGAAGCCGCTGCGTTTTCCCTCCGCCGGCTTGCTCGCCGCGCCGGCGCCCCTTTTAGTCCCATAATTGGTCAGTACGACGCAATCTCTATCATCCTAGGGCTTCTTCCGGGATCGAATGATCGGATTCGGAGATCGTTGCTTCGTCTCCTCAGCGTCCTGGTAGCCTTCGACGGCACTAATCGCGTAACCCTAGCGAAAAACCGTGGATTAGATGTCATTCTTGAACTGATCTCTTCTTGCTCCGATAATACGAGAAAGCCCTTGCTGGAGATTCTCAGCGCGATGGTGATGCTTAGAGAAGTAAGGAGGGTTGCCATCAGTTCTGGTGCTTTGAGGTTTTTGATTGAGGCGATTTCACTTGGTAGAATGACTTCAAGAATACAGGCGGCGCATGGTATTGGGCTTCTCGGAATTTCGAAGAGGGTTCGACACATGCTTGTAGATTCTGGAGCTATTCCGGCTCTTTTGCAACTGTTTCGAGAAGGAGACCAGTCGGCAAAGATAACCGCTGCTAATGCGCTTGGTATAATCGCTTCTCATGTAGATTGTATCCGGCCTGTAGCTGAAGCTGGTGCTATTCCGATGTATATGGAGCTTCTTGAGGGCACCGAGCCACTTGGTAGAGAAATAGCGGAAGATGTTTTCTGCGTATTAGCTGTGGTTGAGGAAAATGCGGTGGTGATTGCGGAACAATTGGTGAGGGTTCTCCGTGGCTGTGATGAAGAGGCTAAGTCAGCTGCTGTGGATGTGTTCTGGGATATTGCTGGGTACAAGCACTCCATCCCTGTGGTTAGAGATTCTGGTGCAATTCCTGTTTTAATGGAGATTTTGCAGCATGGGAGTGCTGATACTAGGGTGAAGGTTATGGGGACTATTTCTCAGTTAGCTTATGAAGAAGCTAATAGAACGGCCATGGCAGAGGCTGGTGGAATTCCTCTTGTAATTAATTTGTTGACTGATGTTTCGGGGGAGTTGAGGGATTTGGCAGCAGAAGCTTTGATGAGTTTTGGAGAAGATCCAGCATTCAGAGAGCTGATAGTTGAGGCTTATAATATCCCAACCTTCGTCGATGCGTTTGATAGGCTGAGTGTAGAGCAACTCAGCTCAGATCCAGATTTTTCTTGAATCCGCAATCGGTATGGATAGAATTCAGAATACTAGTGCAAGTTTTTTCAGTTGGTATCAAATTATAGCCTTTAATTATTTGCTAGAATTCTAAAAGTGAGGCAGCCTTACTAGTTTTTATATGAAATTCTTTTAGCAATTATAATTCATACTTGCATGTAATTTGCGTTTTTGATGAGTTTTTAGTGAGTATAGCTTATATTGCTTCCAAGTTATCAGATACTGTGATTGACATTTGTAGCACTTACATATTTTCTCTTTCAAAACTATGGGTGCATTCATACACGTAGCACACAATTCTAATGTATTTACTTATCTAACACCTAAACTTTCATATTTACACGCACAACACTCAACTTTTTAATATCACATTGAAAAGTAGCACTATTTCCACTTTTTAAAAGTGTGAATGCCCCAATTAAGGGAAATTTACATGCATAGCACACAATTCTAATGTATTTATGTACCTCACACCTAAAATTTCATATTCACACACAAAGCACTTAAATTTTAATACACATATAAAAATAGTAATGTTGCCACTTTTTAAAAGTTAAACGCACCTTTTCATGCATAGGTTTAAAGCACCAAAGTACTATGCATGTAAATTTGAAACTTTAGATGTGAGATATTAAATACATAAGATTTGTGTTCTATGCTCTGTTTAAAAAGACATTTTTGGGTGTGCCCTGGGGCGGGCCTTAATGCCTTTCGCCCCAAGCCCACTAGGGGGCGCAAATCTCGCGGGGCTTATGACAGTCGGAATGCAATACTTGCCTCACGGGATGTACACCTCGCCTTATAGTCGAATAAAAAGTGTAAAAAATCCCTAATTCTACATGATTTTTTATTGCGTTAGTGTCCAATTTAAACCCCCCCACCCCCCCCCCCCCACCAAACTCCCACTCCAAAAAAAAGAGTATTTCAGTAGTTCTAATTAGATACTAAACGAAAATTTGCGTCTGGTGCTTTGATGAAAGAAAACCTCAAGGCATACCTATCCGATTCGAGCTTTTCCTGCTCGTAGTCATCTTTCGCAGGCCCTTTGCTTCCTCCATCTCATGCAGAGTCACAGAAGATCCCGCAGCTGTCTGTTTCTTCCCTCGCACCTTGCACAAAGGTAATCCTACAACAAGCTCGTCTGCTTCGTCTCGCACGCAGATTCATCTGCGTCGTCTTCATCTCTCACGCAAGTGGTCCCCTGTTAGCAGGCTTGTCTGCTTCATTACTTCCATGCGCAGCGTCTCCTTCTCTCCCTCTCCTGCACTCGCATCGTCTCCTTTCCCGCACCTGCATTGTTTGTCCCACAGCCGCACAACCAAGTAAACTTTGATTTTTTTTACGATTTTTTAAGCTTTTATTAGTCTTTAATTGATCATTTCACCGTAGTTATAGTAATTTCATTGTTGCTGCTACAGTGAACTGCAAAAAAAATTATTTCATGTTAAAAATTTGCTATAGATCACTCTAGCTACAATAAACCACAATTTTTTTTTATGTTTATAGTAAATTGCAATTTTTTTTTAATTTATTTGCGATTTGCTAGAGGTTTATTTGATATGAAATTTTTTTTAATGTGTTAGATTAGTTATTAAATTGTAATGAAATGAGAGAATTGTGTGGTCAGTAATAGTCGCACTAGCAAGAAAGATTTTGCATGGCAATATATAACAAGCATGCTCAATGACAAATATTTGAGATGTAAGTTTTACAATCGAGTATGTAGAGGAACAATAAATAAGATAAAATAATATTCTGTCGGCACACACAAGGGCATTAAACCGTGCATTAAAGCCCCTACTGAAGTTCAAAAGTGATGCAAGAAAGCGTTAGAAAAAAGATGAAAAAGTCAAAGTACAATGTGACAGTGTATTAGATGTTATTAGAAGCAGTGCAACAAATATTGGTGATGGTCAAAATGCTATAAATTTATTATTAGTTGACTCCTTCTAGAGGCCACCTAAAGTAAGAGGTCCGATAGTTTCTTTCACTGCAACACAAGCAAGGAATTTAACTTTATATTTCAAGTGGAAAAAAAATGAAAGAAAAGAAGCATGTTGGACAATTGATAAATTTTGCTACTCAGCTGGATTGATGTTTAATGTTAATAATGGCCCATATTACATGTATATGTTTGAAGCAGTTGTTAATTTTGGTCCTGATTTTCCGCCAACAATGCATGAATTGAGAACTTGGATATTCAAAGCTGAGGTTGTTACAATCAATAAGATTTTTTAGGAGCTCAATTATGTCAGACAGTTGGACATATGAAAAAAGTAGAGCTTTGATTAGTTTTCTTATGAACAGTCCAACTGAGAATTTTTTTCTTAAATTTGTGGATGTTTCTAATGTTATAAATAGTTATGAGTTCGTATTCACTTATTTGGATGACGTGATTGTCAAAGTGGGAGAAAAATGTGGTGCAAATTATAACAGATAATGATTCACACTATGTGAATGCAGGTAAAACGATAATAGAGTAAAGACAACATATGTATAGGACAGCATGTGCAGCACATTGTATTAACATAATATTAGAAGATATTGAAAAGTTGAATATTCACGAGAGCGCACTTGCAAAAGCAAAACAAGTTATTAAATTCATTTTTGGGCGCACATGGGTTCTTGATTTAATGAGATTTTTTGCAAAGGAGAGGGAATTTGTTTGTCTAGTCATCACACGGTTTGCTACGACATATTTGATCCTTCAAAGCATTTACAAGTAGAAGTAACCACTTCAGGCAATGTTTTCCTCAGAACCTCAGTTTTCTAGTCAATCAGCAAAGAAAATAGAAGGTATAAAAGCTCAAGTTGTTTTTTTATTTAATCCACATTTTTGGGTTCATCTTGCTTATTGTATAAAAAATGTTGTGTCTCTTGTAAATGTTCTAAGAGAGGTTAACTGAGAAGAAAAGTCAGTCATGGGTTATACTTATAAGTTAATGGATTCAGTAAAATAAAAAAAATGCTTTTAATTGTGGGTATAATGAAAGTAAATATAGATCTATTTGAAGGAAAATTGATGCAAGATGGGAAATCCAACTTCATAAACCACTACATGCAGTTTGTATGGAAAGAATGGTGGATTATGAAGATCATCTTAGAGCTGATATTCAACTAGACTTATATTTGTAACTTACGAGGAGACTTTGAGAGTAAAGTTATTATGAACTCAAGAAAGTTGAGATCTCCTATTGATATGTGGATGAGATTTGGTGGAAAAATACTTGAGTTAACGGATTTTGTTATTTGAGTTCTTAGCCTAACTTGCAGTTCATCAGATTATGAAAAAAATTGGAGCACTTTTGAATTAGTAATAATTTTTATTTTTTAAATTTAAAATTGTTATTAATTTCTTTTATAATTATCTCTTAATAATAATATTTTTTATCTTAGATTCTTAATAAGAATAGGAACAGGTTGGAGCACAAAAGTTTGAATTCTCTAGTATATGTAAGATATAATATTAGATTGGGGAGAAAAAATATAAGAAGAAAATAAAACTTTGATTCAATATTGATAAATGACATAGACTCTGCTGATGGGTGGATTGTTGAAAAAGAGGATCCAGTGTTTCCACATGAACCTTCTTGGATGAGTGAAGACAAAAAAATATTTGATATTAATGTAATAAGAAATGTTGCAACAAAAATGCAAATGAAGAATCATAAAATATTACACAATGAAGAAATGATATTTTTATAACATATTCACACGAGAAAAGGAAAATAAATGAAAGAACAAATAAGTTTCATATTTACATTTAATTGTTCATCACATAAATATGCATTATAAATTTTTTATAGAAAAAAGATCCTAAATATTCACGAATGTCATTTTTTGTGTTTATAATTTAGGCAACAATGATATGTAGAAACAAACTATGAATGCACCTGAGATTGAACATGATGATGATTTCAATGAAGTTGAACAATGAATGCAGAGAATACAAAGTACCAAGTTATAATTTGGGCACAACTATTGGCGAAAACGATAAAGATTTTGTTGATGAATTTGAAGAATGAATAATCTTCAAGGATTGAGATCAAATGACTATAAATTTATTGTTTGACTCAAACACGTTTACTTATTTGTATATGTTTCTACTTTTTGTAATGGTTTTTTGCTAATGTATTGAAGATTATAATCCTAGAAGACTTGTTTTGTTTGTATTTAATTTTTTTATTATGCACAAATAGTTTACTTTTTCTCTTAATTTTTACATTCTTTTTTTTTATACTATATGGCTTACGCCTAACGCCTTGAGGCTTACACGCCCTATAACAACTAAAATGCTCTGCTCAACACCCATGCCTTTTAAAACATTGGTTCTTCGTATGTAAATTTTCTTAATTTAAATGTTAGTTGTTTTGAAAGTGTGATATAGTAGCAAAGATAGTTATATATAGAAAAAAATTAAGGGTTGTGTGGGATTGTTTTTTTTTTAAATTAAAAATAGAAAACAAATATAAAAACTGTGTTGCTTGTCTGTTTGTTATTATTATTATTTTTTTTTTTGGGAAAACACATGTTTTTAAAATACTAAAAACAAAAAAAATATATGTTTTTAGCTTTTTTTAAAACACCAAAAGAACCATTCGTCTACCCCGTCGCCACTTCAGTTGCGGCCCCCACCAGCCTCTGCTAGCGGTAGACCCCCACCACCTCCCGAGAGTTGTCGCTCGCCCCTGACACTGCCTGCTGCCGCCTGTCGTTGACCCCTGTCGCCGACCCTCGCCAACCACCCCCGCCTGTCGCCGGCCCTTGTCAGCCGCAGTCGCCGCCCGCCCGCTCACACATAATGCTTTGTGTTGGGTGGAGAAAGGAAAATATTGTTTACGCCACGAATGACAGAGTTTAATATTGGAGTACACGTGGACTCAATCATTTTATAAAAAATATATTTAAAAAAAAAAAAAATACTCAACCAAAAATGCTTTATATTTTTTATTTTTAGAAACATATAAATCTTAACAGTACCAAACCCATTTTCTAAAAACATAAAACAGAA